CTCCACATTCTCGTGCCACCCGAGAGGCCCGAGCAGGAACTGAGTCCCTCGGCAAACCGGTCCTCTGACTGCATTTAATTAATCAAAATAAAGTTCACAGAAAGAGTTAATCAAAGAACATATTAAAGGAAGTCATGATATCGGGATGTTTCACACCAAAGCAGGATAGGCAGCTTCGCTGAGTTTGTGAGAGGCAGCCCCTTGAAGAAATGTTCCCCAGCTTTTCAAAGCTGCCTGAGCAAGGAACAGCACGGGTAGAGGAAAGACCAGTGGACTTGGAGGCTTACAGAACTGGGCGAGCCCGGCAGTGCCGTCCACATAAGACGTGTGGCCTTAGGCAAGTCGTTTCACCTCTCTGAGCCAGGCGTTTCTCACCCATAAAGTGGAGGTGGAAATGGTGGGTGGAAAGTGCCTTGCACAGGGCTCTGCACGCAGTCAGCTGTTGGTGGCACGGTGTGGATGTGAACACTGGCACCTGCAGTGGGCTGTTTGGTGTCCTCTGAAGGGTTTTTAAAAGGTAGAGCATAGCGCCCTACAATGTTTGGGTTTGCCACACCACCTCCCTCTCGGGCCAGGGAATCAGGCAGAGCTGGTCTCAGGTCCCAGCTCCGCCTTCCTTCGTGTGGCCTTCATTCACACTTTCCACAAACGTGGATGCCAGGGAAGCTGTTCCCTGTTTCCAATCAGGAAGGGGGGAAATGAGGAGCCAGCTTTGGGATTATTGAGCTCAAAGAACTCACTACTTGGACTACTATCCAGCAATCAAAAGGAACAAACCACTAAAACACGCTACATCATGGATGAACTTCAAAAACGTTAGGCTACGCGGCAGAAGCCAGGCACAAGAGACCATGTGTTCTATGATTCTATTTGTATAAAACATATAGAAAAGGCAAGTTAATAGAGAGAAAATAGCTTAGTGGTTGCCCGGGGCTGAGGGCGGGGAGAGATTAACTGTAAGTGGGCCTAAGGGTCTTCTTGGGGGTCTGAAAATGTTCCAAAACTGATTTGTAGTGATGTGATGGCTATACTACTAGGTAAATTTACTAAAAATCATTGAATTGTCTACCTGAAATGGATAAATTTTATGACATGTAAAATATACCCCCAATAAAGTTGTTGAAAAAGAAAAGAGAAAAGAAAGGAACATACTCCTGTAGCCATGAATCTGGCCAGAAAGTTGCCATCAGCAACTGACTCCAGATACTCCCGAAGCCTGCGTTGGGGCACTGAGAAGCTGCTGCAGAAACGCCACACGTCACTGCCACCTTGCTTTCCGGCAGGAATCGTCAGAGCAGCCTTCCAAATCTCCCAGGAGAGCAGCCGCACGGAGAACCTGCTGTGCTTCCCGAAAGCCAGCTGCAGGGAGGCAGAGAAACGTGGCTCTCTTTGCGACCTCTGCACTCCAGGAAGGCAGCCTCGCAGGCACCACAGGGAGGTACCACCAGGAGTCGCAGGAAAGAGGGCTCTCTGGGCAAAGGGACAGCAGGGATAAAGGCCCTGAGGTGTGTTCAGAGACAAAAGGAGTCCAATTGGACGGGCCATGACAAGGAGTTTGGATTTTCTCCCAGGTGAAATGGGAGCCACTGATCAGTCTTAAGTAGGTGGTTGCCGTGATCACATTGTACTTCAAGAAGGTCCCTCCAGCTGTATGTGGAGAACGGGTTTGGGGGACAAGAGTGGAAGCCAGAGACCAGCGAGGAGGCCCCTGCAGTCTCGAGATGAGACATGATGGTGGCCAGGATCAGGGTGGTGGTGGAGAAGCTGGAAGGAAATGGGTGGGTTTGAGATGTGTCTAGGAGGTAAAATCTACAGGACATGGTGAAAATTGGATGTGAGTGTTAGGGGGGCATAGAGACAACCCCTAAGTTCCAGACTCCTAAGCTTAGAAAAGCACCTTACTTCTCTCTCGGTTTCCTCTTCGCTGGACTAGGGGTGACTATGATGGGTAATTAATTCATTCAACAGATATTTGCAAATCGCCTACTATGTGCCTGACAGTGGGGGTAAAAGTGGTTTCCCCAATGTCTGGCCCTAGAGTAAGTGCTCAGGAAAAGTTTTCTTTTTCCTTTATCTTTCAAAACTCAACTCAGGTGCCCCTTCCCTCAGGAAGGCTTCCCTGATCCCACCCCAAACCACACTGCTCTCACACACCTCTAAGCCATGGCAATCAGAGTCCCTGTGTGGGGACTGGACTGAACCAGGGAGCAGGGTGGACCAGATAAAGCACAAGGCCTGGATGAGGCATATCCCCTCCAGGGCTAGAAGGTAGGGGATGGGAGGAAACGGAGGGTACAAACACCTCAGATTTCAAACGTTAGCAACCCCAAGAACACATTATTTCTTTCCACTGGGCCTTTGTTAATGCTCTTTCCTTCTATCTGAAATATCTGTCTTTTTATTTATCCTTTGACTCAGCTTGGATGTTGCCTCCTCCAGGAAGCCCGCTTTGCCCAACCGGACCGAGTTCCTCCTGTATCCATGTACTCCCTGCATGCTTCGCACACCACAATCAACACTTCTCACACCACATGGCCATCACCTGTCTGTCTTCCCACTGGATGGGGAGCCCCTCAGGGGCAGGGAGCCCCAGGAAGTCAGGGTGGGGAACTGAGACAGAAGTGACCTGAAGCTTTCGACATCCGGTCAACACATAGTTACTGAGCATCTACTTTGTGCCCGGCCCTGGTCTGGGTGCCTTGGTGAAGGCAGACAGACGAGAAGGGAGAGATGGGAAGGATTCAGCGGAGGAAGAACAAAGGGGGAGGCCTCTGTGGGAGTCAGAACCAGCTAAGTTTTGCTGTGGTAACAAATAAACCCTGCAATCTCAGAGACTTCATACAACACAGTTTATTTCTTGCACATGAGAAGTCTGTTGTGGGTAAGCACGGTTTAAGTTCCAGCTGGTGACGCCGGGGCCCAGAACCCCTCCATCACATGCTCTGCCATCTCAATCTGTGGCTTCCCAGGCTCCTGCGGCAGGAAGAAAGGGGTGAAGGAGGCTCCTGGGCTCTAACTGCCTCAGCCCAGGAGTGACACCCTTCTGCTCAGAGCCCACTGGCCAGGACTGTCTATGACTCCACCCTCACTGCAAGGGAGGCTGGGAAATGTAGAGAAGCACATGCAGCATCTCTGCCACCGCATCCAGGCCCAGCGAAGGCATGTGTGTGAAAGGGGGAAGGAGAGGGGTGTTTGGGAGTGGCCAGTAGACTATTTTAAGGATAGAGCCCCAGTGCCTGGCACCGACTTGCAATAAAACCCCAGGGACTGGTTTCTTGTTTTTTCGCCTTTGGTTTTGTTTTTGTGTGTGCGTGGTTGTTGAAGGAATAAAGGAAGGAACAAGTGGGTCTGCAAGGCCTCAGCTTTGAGTCTCTCTGGCCCTAGAGCACTAGAGCGAACAACGCCTTTTATCAGTGGTCAACTTGATGCCAGGCACTGTGCTAGGAGCTGCACGCATGGCTCCATCTCATTTAATCCTTAGAACAATGCTGGGGGAGGTTAGAGATGGCTGTGCCCGTATTATAGATGAGAAGGTGGAGGCTCAAATCATTTGTTCACGACTGAAGCTGAGGGTCAATCCTTTCCGTCACGGTGCGTTGGTACAATCACTCACAGGGGCAGAGAGAAAAACATCAAATGTCTGGGAGGGTGGGTTTCTCCCTCTTCAAATGGTCCCATATCTGAGGAGGTAACACCCCCCCCCCCCCCCGCCCCCGGACCAATCAACTCTGGAAGCAGGAGAGAGTGGGTGCATCCCTGAGCAATTGCCTCACCTATCCACACTCAGCTGCAACTTAACTTTCCTCAACTGCAAATGCACAGGACAGCCCGGTCTCCTGGGGGGTCGGGGGATTCGATGAGCAGGTGTCGGTAAGCGCTGACCCCCGGGAAGTCCGGTGTAAGCCGTCCACATGGCCGCTGTTGGGCACCTGCCCCCAGAGGATGTCTGCGAGCAGAGGGAATCTGGCGAGCGCCCCACTTGGCCTGATGGCGACGATGGGGTGTTTTAGAGCTTCCAGTAGGCAGCTGGGCGAGGTGGAAAGCCAGCTTAGAGGGAAGGCCGGGTCTACATGCTTCATGCGCCTCAGGGCAAGACCCTAGCTTCTGTGTTGTCCATCTGAAAATGAGCGAAATCTGAAAAAACAAATGCTCAATTTTTCAGAGGGCTTTTGTACTAGGAGATGATGGGTTGAATGCATCTTATAAACCCCAAGTCCTCCTCTGTCCCTGCGCCCCCCTGAACTGTGAGCTCCCCAAGGAGAGGAGCTGGGTCTCAGACACTCTTCTGGTCCCCTTCTTCCTCCATCCAAGAAGGTGACTAAAAACTGTTTGCAGAAAAGCCACGCAGCCGGTCCATCCACCAAACAGGGGCTGCTCTAACTAACTCAGAGTCTAAGGCCTGAGGACATTTTGGAGTTTCCTTTAAGTCAGAGGTTGCAAGCTGGCAATGAGTGAGCCAAATTCAACCTCAGACAAGTTACTTAACTTTTCTGTACCTTGGTTTCCTCATTAGTGAGATGGGCATAACAATGGTAATACCCAGGATTGTCGTGAGGATTAAAGGAATTAACATGCCTAAGGTGCTTAGGACAGTGCCTGACACATAATGTGGGCTGTGTATATGTTGTTGTTGGTGTTATTATTATTATTTGATTCACATGACATTAAATTTTTTGGATTTAAGTGTCTTTAGATGGCATCTTCATTTTACCCCAGTCTCCACCACTCTCTCTTGTCCTGCACCCAGGCAGCTGTGTGTCCTCCAGCAAGCCCTTCCTCTTCTCCAGGTCTCAGTTTCCCCAGGTGTCAAATGGGCTCCAGAACCCCTGTCCACTTCCCAGGCTTGCTCTGGGATGGGGACAGTGGAGAGGACTTCTCATCCCCCAGGATCCCTGATTCCCTTCTCAGCAGAGCTGGGCAACTCTGGTCCTGTCCCCTCTCAACGCTGAAAAGAGAAATCTCACACCAGCTGAGACAGAACTGCAGCCACAGAGCTCCACGATTCTCTAGATGCATGTTTTATTATCGTTAGGATGATGATCATTGACAAGGGGAAAGTGCCAGAGGGTCACAGACAAACCACAACTTTCTCAGCGATGTCTGCATATTCCCACACACGTTTATTCCCACAGCCAACACACAGCACAGCACAGCACAGCACCACAGGGTGTCTCCACTTACAATGGTTCCCCAAGAAAAACACAGCTGTGGGTCAGGGCTCTGCCCACCCACAAAAGGATGCCGAAGATGGGGAGGAGATCCTGGGTCTTGGGGGTGAAGGTTACTCATGGCGAATCCTGATATGGGGCAGGGGATGCAAGCTGGATTTGGATGGCACAGCTTCAATTCCACTCCACCCTCACTGGCTGCTTGCCCCAGAGGCTCCCTGCCCCATATCTGGGAATCCCTTAGAAGACACGGAAGGGTCATTGTAGCCAGGGTTAAGGAAGGGGAGCAGGCCTGCAGGGGTGAGAGGAGAGAGACTCTGGGATCTGGCCCCTTGTCAGCCATGCAAGGTGGAGTAATATGGGTGTGTGTATACAGGGTGCTCAGGTTTATGGTCAGGGATCTAAGGAGGAGAGAAAGAGGGGTCTCAAAGGGATGGGGCACACAGGGCTCCAGATATCCTTAGATCCCAAACTCAACTTTACAGCAAACTGGGCTCACTCCTCCAGGGGCTCCCGGGTCCAGGCCGCCCTCCGCCCGGGGTGCTGCCGCTTCTCCTCAGCCCCCTGGCCCCTGCTCAGGTCATCTAGGAGCCCCAGCAGGAGGCTGGCTTGACCACAGGCTCCCCGGGGCCCACATGGGCTTCCCAGGGCCCTCTTGCCCGGATGCTGGCGTTTCTCAGGCATCAGCTCCCCCTCCTCCCTCTCCTCTTCCTCATCTTCCCAACTCCTTTGGGCCTGGGGATCCACCAGTCGTCTGCCCGGGTGCTGCCTCTTGGTGAAAGTGTACCCGAGCCAGGAGGAACGCCGGCCAGGGTGCTGCCGCTTTTGCTGGGTTGCATCAGCTGACCATGCAGCCTCATCCTCCCGCCGGCCGGGGTGCTGCCGTTTGTGGCGTCCCACAGCCCCTTCTTCTGCCTCCTCCTCTTCAACTCGCTCTTCTGCCTCTTCCTCCCTTTTGCCTGGATGCTGACGCTTGGAGAGCCAGTTGGGTTGAAAAATCTGGGACTCTGGAGAAGGAAAGATGCCAGTGAGGGACCCCTGACCCCTGAGTACCCACTCCAGCCTTCCTCCCAGTCAAGGCAGATTCCCACACACTCCACCAGTCATGGCCCTGCACCTCCCTCTCAGGACTTACAGACACACACACACACAGATGGTCAAAGGCATGACCTCTGATTCCAACCCCAGCTCTGCCACTCCCTAGCTGTGTGACCATAAGCAACTCACTTAACCTCTCTGAGCCTCAGTTTTTTTCTGCGTATAATGACGGTAATAACAGTACCTATCTAAGAGGTTATTAGGAAGATGGAATAGTGTGATACGTGGTTTGAAGTGCTTGGGACACTGCCTGGTATATATGTGCCTACTAATTAAAACTGTCAACACACACAGAGACTCTCTCTTCCTCCCTCCCCCTGCCCGCACAGAATCTTCCCCACTGAAGGGGAAATATTCTCAGCTCTCTGTGAAATAGCCCCAAGAATGAGATGGAAGAGCAATCTGATCCCAGGAAATGGTCAGCTCACGACCCTTGTGAGGGTGTGGCCAATGAGACTTTCTGAGCTTCTGAAAGGCAAGCGGCCGGATGACCAAGTCGCTCCCTCGCCCTCGGCGTCCCGCTTTCCCCCAGCGCTCTCCGCGGCCTCCTCTGGCCCGGCAGCCCCGGACAGCCCGCCCCTCACCTGATTCGCGCTCGCCCTGGTCCTCTCGCAGCCGCTGGAGGTCTTCCCGGAGGAGGAGTAGGCGCTCCGCCTGGCGCAGGAGGTCGTCCAGGCCCGGGTGCTCGGCGCCCATCGCCGCCTCCTGCTGGGCCGCCTCGGGCTGTGAGCGGCCGCCGGGAACGCCGGTCAGGGTCAGGGTCAAAGCCATGGCGAGCAGCGACCAAGGGCTCGGCATCGCGGAGTCTGGGGTCGGGGGCAAAGAGAGAGACCATGAGCGCCCGCGCCCCGGCTCCCAGCCCGCTCCATCCCCCGCTCTGCGGTCCCAGCGGGTCCCGAGGCCAGGGTAACGAGCCGTTCAAACATCCTCCCCGGTGCAGGACCACCTGGCCCCTCGAGCGGGGGCGGGGGCAGCGGGAGAATCTGCCTCGGGCTCGGGGCGTCCTCACCCATGGGGATGCCTGGAGTGCCTGCCCGCGCCCGGTTCTGCCTGCGCGAGCCAGGACGCCGCGGGGACCCCTCCGCCGCCGGCCCTCTGCAGCGTCAGGGGCGCCGGGGAAACCAGCGCGGGGGTGACTCGCCGGAGCGACCCCTCCAAGACCGCAGGGCCGGCCCGACGGCCGGGAGGCTGACGCCGCGTCGCAGGCTGAGATTCTCCCCAAGGCTCCCAGGGCAACATTCCTATCCCAACACTCCTCCAACTTTCTTATTCCAACGCCATCGTTCTAATTCCAACGCTAAGAGTCTATTTCCAAAGCTAAGATTCTATGGCTAAGATGGGAATCTAATTCCAACGCTAAAATCTATTTCTAGCGCTGAGACTGAGATTCTAAGGCTAAGATTCGATTCCAACGCGAAAATTCTGTTTCTAACGTCCAGATTCGTATTCTAACTCCCAGGCTCTCGCGCCGACGCCCTGACTGCTTGGTTCTGCCCCCCTGTCCCGGCGCAGACCTAAGGCGGGCATCCCGGCGGAGGTGGGATGCGAACCTCCCATCGGAAGCCTGGCGCCGAGCGCTTCAGACGCCAGGACGTGGGTGCACAGGAGGGAAAGCCGCCAGTGTGCCCGCGCCGTGGAGAGCCGGGCACGAGCGCAGCGCCCGCCGGTGCGCCCACCCCGCGCTGCGGGAGGCTCGCGGGGACCGCAGCCGGGGCGCACCCGAGGGCGGGGGCAGAGGGCCCCCTTTCCAGCGCTGCGGGGGAGAGGGGACCGAAGCGGTTACCTGCCCGGTGCGAGTTCTGCGGGACCGGTCCGGGATTCGGGGGCTTCAAGACCGCAGTTTCGGGGTCTGGAGTCGGCGGGCCAGGAGTCCGGGAGCGCTCGCAGGACCCGGGGCGCCGGCTGCCCGCTCCTCGGCGGGGTCGCTGCTTATATCCGCGCGAGGCGGCGGCGCGGGTGAGGTCAGCCGGGAGGGGTCGGCGGGCCGGGAAGGGGCGCTGACGGCAGTCGGCCCCGAGGGTACCCCGCTCGGCCGGCCGCCTGCCAGCGCGGCCGGAAATCTGGGGCGGGGGCAGGGGGGGTGGGGGGGGGGGAGGCGAGGAGGCACGAGCCGCAGGATGGGGTGCTGGGTAGGCTCGTTTCTGCACCAGCTCCGAAGGTCTGTTGTTTAAGAGATCACTCGAGCAGGGAACAGAGAGAGAGGGAGAGAGACGGAGAGAATCTCTGCCCCCCTGTCCCGGCACAGACCTAAGGCGGGCATCCCGGCGGAGGCCGGGATTCAGAGAATCACACAGTTAAAATGAGACACGCAGGAAAGAACGGGAGATAGAGAGACAGAGACTGTGAGGCGCATACAGAGAGAGACGGAGAGATACAGAGCAGACACACACGAAAGAGACACTCATCAAAGAGACAGAGACAAAGAGAGTCCAAACAGAGAGAGACAAAGAGAGAGAAGGAGAAGGAGGGGTAGGGGACAAGTGGGATCTGGGCTCTGATCTTGACTGTCACCTCTGGCAAATGCCTTTTCCTCTCTGGGCCTCAGTTTTCTCATCTGTACAGTGGTGGAGGGGAACAGCTTTCAGAATTTCAAAACTGGTGGCCTGTGGGCTACCGCCAGTTCACAGATGTCTTTGTTTGACTCCCACAATGTTCTGAAAAAAACCTGAATAACCAACACTCAAAAACCAGGAGAACTCAGGGAAAAAAATGGATTTATGGCTTCTCTTAAAAAAGAGTGGACCTGCATTTCCCGCTGACAACAGCCAGCTGGAGCTGAGCCTGGCTGCCCCTGGGCACCACACTCTCCACCCTGTCCTGCTGTCTCCAAAAACATTGCTCCAGTCACTGAGGAGGGACATTAGAGTTTGTGGCCTCTGGACCAGAAGTCTGTTGGGGTCCACCCCGCCCAGGCAGAGGAAGGGAGAGAAGGGCATGCAGGGAGGAGCAAAGTATAGATGCCAACAGGCTGTCCCCCAATTAGTCCCCAAAGTCACATGACACCTTAGAAGAGAGCACTGCCACATCTAGTCCTGGGCCAGCTCCATCCTGAAACATTTAAGGGCACCCGCTGTGCCAGGCTCCTGGGTCAGTCCTAGAGACACAGAAGCTAGACAGGCCCACTTGGAGAGAACTGCATGTTAGGCAGAGGAAACAGTATTGGCAAAGGCTTCTCCTACCTCTGGTCAGTCCCAGCGTTGTTCTGTCTCTTCATACAGTATTTCTTCAGTCTAAAAGTTTAACTGAGTACCTCTTGTATGCCCCAGGCCATGCTAGTGTTTTGGCAAGGGATTCCAAAGCTGTTTAATTATTACTCCTTCCCTTGGCAGAATACCCAGCTTTCCTGACATCCCCACCATCTCCTTGCATCCTCGCATCACCAGTGGGATAAACAAGGCAGAGACTATTCATCTCACTTCACAGATTGAAACACACAGGCCTGGAGAGGCAGAGACATTGAAGGGTAGAGGTGGAAGGGAACTTTCAGATCACCAGCTAGAGTTCTCTCCTCATTTTTAAATGAAGAAACTGAGGTCTGGAGAGATGGCCTGATTGGCCCGCCACCTCCCAGGCACATTTTGTGTCCCCAGGGTCAGATGATTGGCTCAGGACTGATGGTAAACCTGAAACCCCAGGCTTCATCTCCCAGCCAGGCTCCAGGATTTGGAGAATTGCCATCCTAGCTAAGCATTAAATCAGACAGACCTGTTCTCTTTCATACACGATGGTGGAGGTATAAATCGATACAGCTCCTTGGATGGCAACCTGAAAATTTAGCACATATGTACCTTGCACAAGATAATTTCATTTCTCAGAATTTATCCTACAGATAGAGATATACTACAGATGTATACACAGGGTATGCAGGAAAGCATGGTTGATAGAAGCCAGAATTGGAAACAGCCTGGATGTCTGTCCACCAGGAGGGGTCTGCTTAAATCAACTAGTGCCCATCCAAAACTATGGGGTACTATTCCACCTTTAAAAGAATGAGGCAGTTCCATACATACTGATGTGGAATGAGCTCTGGGATGTATTGTTAAGTGAAAAAAGCAGAGTAGAGAACAATGTGTTCATCGTATACATCTGTGTGAGGGCGCGGGAGTTGGACTGTTATGCTGTTATGCAGAGATTCTCTTGGTTGCAATGTGCAGCACAGTACAAAGGAGGAGCTGGGGAGCCAGGGAAAGGGAGGCTGGATGAGGGGCTTGCTTTTCACCATCAGCCCGTAGGGCTGTTTGAAATTTTCCCCTGTATGGAATTACCTATCCACAAACAAAACAGCAACGACAAAATCTTGTCTCAGCCTGAGGCTTGAAAGGAGTGAGAAGTGTGGATGAATGGGAAAGCTGCCTCCTGGAGGGCGAGATGGCTGGAACATCACCCCCTGGTGAGCCCATTTGATGCGCTTCCATCATCAGGGATTTGAGTTGCCTGTTAGAAGGAGAGTTCCTGGATGGCTGGGGAGGAGGCAAAGGAGTTCCCACGTAGCCCAAGGGACCAGAGAGGATGGTACAGGCCTCAGAGGTGTCCTCAGCAAAACAACTTGCTTGACCCTCCCTCCCGCCTTCCCTTCCTTCCTTCTTCACTAGGCAATATTCAATTCAATTCAATTCAGTTCAATTCAATTCAATTCAAAATAGGTAGCAGGACCTATTCTAGACCTTAGGCACTGTATTAACCACGTGTTTCTGATGCTTTGACCTCTGGGATCTTGCTGACCCTAGAGAGACTGCCTTCCCCAGGGTAAGCCAATTCCTAGGTATAGTAAAGGAGCTACCTGCTAGGACCTTTCACATGCAAACTAACCAATCCAGAGCCCACAACCCTGCCACACTCTGGACCACTATCCCCCTGCCCTCATCACCCAGGGCCAAGTTCCAAACAACTAGGGACAGCCCCTATGCCCCAGAGCCCGGTGGAATTCTTCAAACTAGCCAATCCTAACTACCCTAAACTACCCCACCTCACCTGTTCCTTCCTGTAGAAACCACAATGAAGGCTCTTGCCCACCTTTCCCCCAACTCTTTGCCCACTCTGCCTCCTGACAGACCCTGGCGCTTCCCCGTGTGGCCCTGCCTGGTGTGGTGTGCCTCTCCTCTTAGGAACCGTGAGTAGCAAACTTTCTTCTCAATGGCAGCCGCCTCCTGATCAACTGGCCTCACCATACCTGAAAAATAATGAAACTCACATTTTACAACAGGAATCCAGTAGGACAAAAAGTCAGGATCCTGCTCTCTCTCTCATGGAGCTGAGAGTGCAATCACTACAGTGCATATATTTTTCTAGCTTGCCTTTTTCTGTAATTCTTTGATAATACAAATGTGCTTGAGTCTTACAACTGCAGACTGTAGTTGCTTGTCGGATTAACACACTAATGCTTTTGAAAATGAAGGATAGGGTAATTTTTTTTTTTTTGAGGAAGACTAGCCCTGAGCTAACTACTACCAGTCCTCCTCTCTTTTGCTGAGGAAGCCTGGCCCTGAGCTAACATCCATGCCGATCTTCCTCTACTTTATACATGGGACGCCTACCACAGCATGGTGTGCCAAGCGGTGCCATGTCTGCACCCGGGATCCAGGCCGGCGAATCCCGGGCCGCTGGAGAACCGGAATGTGCCAACTTAACCACTGTGCCACCGGGCTGGCCCCAAGGATAGAGTAATTTAATGGGTTTATACACTATTTCTGACTCTCAGTTGCCCAACCCCTGCAACACACACATTCGTCTGCTTGCAGGAGGTCTATTGACTCCCCGGAGGGTTCTGAGTGCCCAAACTCCACCTCCCCTGAGTTCCCCTGCGCTTGTCTCTCAAAGCCCCTCTGGACCCTGTTCAGAGAAGTCCCTCAGATATTTTAGCGTCTTTCTCAACCCTGAGCTGCAGAAGAGCCTGAAGCAGCCCCACCTAGCTTACCTTTTAATTTTTTTCGTGGTGGTTTTTCTAAATTAAACTTTTTATTTTGAGATAACTGTAGATTCACTTGCAGTTGTAAGAAATAATACAAAGAGATCATGGGTACCCTTCACCCAGCTTCCCCTAACGGTAACTTGTAAAACTATAGTACAGTATCACAACCTGGATAGTGACAGTGATACAACCCACCGATCTGACTCAGATTTCCCCACTCTTACTTGTATTCATGTGTGTGTGTGTGTGTGTGTGTGTGCAGCTAGTTCTGTGCAATTTTGTTATGTGTAGTTTCATGTATCCACCACATAGTAGCTTTTTAATTACAGAAAATAATAGCTTTTAAATATTCAATTCTTTCCTTTATGTTCTGCTTTTGCTGTCAAAATAATGAAGATCTTCTCTTCCTCAAGATCATAAAAATTATCTCAGGGATTCCAAAAAGAAGAGTCCATTTAGTGTCTGACCTTTTTCCTTAGAAACTCGCTCCAGAAATCTCCCTTACCCAGATTCCCCCTTACTCATTCCATTAGAGATTTTTGACCCAATTGAGCAATAACTGCTGATGCTGAATCCACTGGAAACTTTTCAGTTCTCATTTCAATCACTGATTTATTTCTTTATTCCACAAGTATTCCAGTATACGCACAGGTGTCAAGCATGGTTCTAGGCCCAGGGCACACAGTGGGTGTAGGGGGATAGGGGAGGTGGATGCCCACAATAAGAGAAAGGTGGGAAGGGGTCAGATCTCATGGGGCTTGTTGGCCATGGGGAGGAAAGGAGTTTGGATTTCACTCTTGAGGCAGTGGGAAAACAGTGGGAAAGCCGGGGAGAGATGTGATCTGACTTGTTCTTTCAGACCATCCCTCTGGCGGCTGGGTGAATTGAGTGCACCGGGGAAGGGGTGGGAGGGGAGTGGGCAAGAGGGAAACAGCGAAGCCGTTTGAGGCACTTCTGTGAAACCCTTGCTCCTTTGTGACGCTCTCCTGCGTCTCCCCCGGCTCTGTTCATCCTCTCCTGAGGCTCTCGTTCTATTCTGCCTGCCTCTCAGGTGTGTGTGCTCCTCTAGGCTCAGCCTGTGTCTGCCCTCACCCCCGCCTCTTCATCCCCTTCACTGCACCTGGCCACATGCTGATGCCT